CGAGGGCAGTACTTATTGTCGGTCATTACCATCTCAAACTTTGGACATTCAAAAGGAATTTTATGCTAAGGCGCTTTGACCCGCACAAAAGGGTAACAGATTCAGAAGCCATGGAAGGAAAAAAAAAGCTTTGTATAAGCCTTTTTACAAGGACTATAGGTCACGATCAAGAGTTCCTCGCAAGGGCCGATCAGCCTCAAAAGCAAAAAATTACGAAGAACACGAAACCTAAGCAGCACGATCCTTATCGGGAGAAGTGTCTTCAGCCTCAGAATCGTCTCCACCGCCGGACTTGCTAGAGTTCTCGGAGTCTTCCTCGGGAAAGGCTAGGTTCCAAGCTTTTGTTTCCTCAGTCGCTTACGTCACGATGATGATGTCATGGCAAATCGGGGTAAAGATCAAGGACTCAATTCGTTTCTTGTCGTTATACTCCAAAAAACGAGGGGACTATCCATATGTAGGCTCGAGGATCACTTTAAGGGCGAGTTCGAAATAGACTAGGTCCGAGCCCGATGGCAGAGTTTGAAGTTCGAAGATCAGAGTGTCCGATGAATATCAAGGCCGAGCGTAACCAGCCCCGAGATAATGCCGTTGTGGTTTTGTAACAGAAAAGACGAGATTCTCGGAATGGCCCAAAGATCAAGGCGTAAATTCCGAAACGGATTTGTACGAACTCGTACTAGGCGGTTAGACAGCTGTCAAATTAGAGTCCTTACTAAAAACGGAAATGTACCTTATTTAGGACCCTCCTATTATATAAAGAGGAGCCCATTCATTTGTAAGACATCTAATCATTGGCAAAGAATATAGTCTCTACTTTTCGCTCATTGTTCATCAGAATTGTCCTTTAACTTTATTGTTCTTGATTCATCTCGAGGTCACTGAGCTCGAGGTCTATACTGTTTAAGAAACGCTGGTTGATTCACTTATTTCCTTCATCTATACTATACTTCTTGATTATAAATTGGTATTGAACTAAATCACATATCTTTAAATTCACAAATCAAATTTAATTGTTACTCGTATTTTCGAGGTAAACAAAAAGGTTGCTAGTCCCAAAGTTTGTGAACTCAAAAGTATAAAATTTGAGCTTATTAATTTTTGAAACAAAAAGAAGCCTCATATAACTATGTTGCCCTTAAAATACCTTATTTTAGTTTGACTTTTGACATGAATGATTTGAGTATATTCATTTATTTGAATAGAACGATTATTAGATCTTTTCTTTCAAAAGATCATGTTTTTTTAAAAATTGAAGGAATATTTAAGAATCTCATTTTCGTACTTCCTTTTTTTTTATTTTTATTTTGAGGGGGCATGTACACTGTGAAAATCAACTTCCCTAAATGACTCTTGAAAAGGAAATTAAACTTTTTTTTGCAATATTATAATAGTAGTAATATCAACTTTTAGTTGTGATTGCATTACTAATAGACAACTCTTGTCTGCATTCGAACTTTCTCTGTGAAAATCAAGAAATACAAAAAAGAAAAAGCACTGAAAAGGACTGGAAATACAACTTGCTAAGGTCGAGTTAGGACTAGGATATATCGAGTATAACCGATAGCCCGAACCGAAAAAAGCTTATTGGGGTATCGATATCAGGTTATTGGGTTAGCGGTTCGGTAACGTTTTTGTATTTTTTCACTATTGGGTTATCGGTTTGGGCCATGGTTTGCCCAATTTCTTAACGGATTAACCGATAACCCAATAAGATTTAATAAAATTAGGATTTTACACCTAAGTATATAAATGAGAAATTTTCATAAAGCACTATCTTTTGGTAGTAATTAGCCATCTATAGATACCGTTTGCTATATTACGGATTATAGATACCTTTTGTGTGGTTATAAGATGTATTTGATGTATTTAAGCTATTGTATTCATGAATACAGTAGCAAAAATAGGCGTGAATCAGGGAAGTCCAGCTAATCAGTTGTTGTATTCGAGTGTATTCGACTGTATTCATGGAGTGAAATATGGGATTACAGCTGGACAGATTATTGTATTCAACTGTATTCGACTGTATTCACGGCGTGAAATAGGGGATTACACTGTTTTAAAACGAAAAGTGAATCAATTAACATAATAGACTCCTAATATAACTCAAAAAACTCAATTATAACACACAAATTTTGTATTTTCAATTACAAAAAAGATACTCAACCGAAAAATACCCCAAAAACATAGCAATCTTCAGAGAAATTATATAATACATCTGAATACATAAATTATATTAATTAAAAAAACATATGAATACATTCATGGCATATAGCGAGACAGTAAATATAATAAAATACATAGAATACAGCAGGATACATTGAAATACAATGAAAAAAAAGACAGTGAATACAATGAAATACATAGAATACAACGAGATACATTAAATTACAATGAAAAAAAAACAATGAATACAATGAAATACATGAAAATACATTGAAATATATTAACAGAAAATCAAGTTGCTCAGCCCTAAACTTCGTCGTCTTTGTTCAAGAACAAACCCTAATTTCCGGCGAATCTGCCGTAGCAATACACTTCAACCAACGACGAAACAATCCACGGAACCCTCTCAAACCCTTCCTATAACGGCGAAATGGCAAAAACCTACCCCTTCAAGCTCGACCCATTTCAGGAAGATACCGTCGCGTGCTTAGAACGTAAAGAATCAGTTCTTTATACTTCACCTTTAGGGATAGGCAGAGAGTTATTTATAATTCACCTTTGAAAGCATTGAGCAATCAGAAGTATATAGGGAATTAAGCCATGAGTTTAGTGATATTCAATTCGGTGCAAGAATTGATCGGAATGAAAAGAAAATAGTGTGGGTGAGACAAAATTTTGAGATGGAACATCGTATTTTTAGGGAATGGGGAAGAGAATGGGATGTATCAAAGTAGAGAGAGAAAGAAAATAGTGTAACAGAATAGCGTATTTAGTGGCTTAGGGCTAGGAGGTAACCAAAATTAAATATTTTGCTATAAACCTTAAAAGGTATCTATAGAAAATAATTTTTTTAAATGGCATTTATTTAAAATAAATAAGGTGTTAACCTTTGCTATAGGAGGTAAAAATTCCTATATAAATACATATAGGGCTTCATTCTCTCTTTTTCTCCCAATTTTCCCAGCCACATTCAAGATTGAAGTTTCCAGTTCACTCTTCAGACTCTGATTCAATTCTTGAACAGTTCTTCTTCAAAATTCAAAGTACAACCACATTCTTAGTAGGCGTTTGGACATAAGAATTGTAAAATTCAAAAAAATGGTGAAAAAAAAATTTCAAGTGAAAATGATATTTGAAATTTAGAGTTGTGTTTGGACATATTTCAGTTTGGGTTGTTTTTGAAGTTTGTGAGTGATTTGAGTGAAAATTTTAAAAAATAGCTTTTTGGAGTGTTTCAAATTTTCGAAAATTTCCAAAATGCATCTTCAAGTGAAAATTGAAAATTTTATGAAACAAACGTTGATTTCGAAAAAAAGTGAAATTATTTTGGAAAAAAGAAAAAAAACAATTATGTCCAAACGAGCTCTTAGAACCTTAGCGTAAGTTTTATTCCAAACTTACTTCTTCGTTAAGAACAAATTTCGTTCCTTTCTTTTGAATTTTACAATAGAGTCCGATAATAAAAATATAGGATTTTTGATTGTTTTCGATTCTTTATTCTGTGCTCATGTTTTAGTACTATGTTTGTACTTGTTAATTTTAAGGTGAAATTGCTACTACTTTGTATTGTTATTAATGTATTTGGACAACTGTTGTTGAAGAATTAACACTATTTCAGTTGTGTTTGGATAACTGTTGAATTACTAGTATTCTTGTTGCTCTTGCTACAATTGGACTCTGGAAAATGACATTGATCTCTTGATTATGGTTTGGCAGGAAACCAAAAAGTTGTAATTTATGTTCCTGTCAACTAATATTTCCAGTGAATTGGAGATGGAATGCTTGTGGAGTTGTAGTATCAATTTTTGAGATTGCACATGTCATGAATTTGTCAAAATGAAACATGCTTCAAATATTAGTTGTGGCTAGAACGCAGAATTGGGTAGTATATTATATGTGAATTCTTCTCTTTTTTGCTTAACTCGAGTGAATTGACTTCTCTTTTTTGCTTAACTCGAGTGAATTGACTTCTCTTTTTTGCTTAACTCTAGATTGAGTTATCTTATCGGGTAAATCGATAACCGAACCGATAATGAACGATAACCTATTAATCGATAACCGATAACTAATATCTTATAGGTTTAATTATCAGTGATACGTGCCCAATGTGTTTAGATTACGTGCCCAATGTGTTTGTATGTTTAATAGACAGATTTCTTTTTTATACTTATGATGTACGAGCTAGCGGAGAGATATTTTTATCTTCGACGGGATTTGAACCTGAAACCATAGTTCTCAACCCATGTTATTGAAATGTATTAAATTAGTAAACGAGTTATAATTTAAAATTGAAAAAACTTTATTTGGGTCAAAATGAAAATTATATTTAGTAATATATGAGTGAAAATAGATCCAATGAAGTCAGTGTTCAAAGACGAGCATCCATATTGGACTTTCTAAATGAGCCTTCAAAGGTAGAGAGCATAGTTCGATGATACTGTAATAGTTGCACTCATTCAGAGGCAGATTCAGAATTTAAATATTATGAAATTGGATACGAAGTTCATATCCAAATTCATAAAATTTAATGGTTTAAAAAAATAAATATGGTTAAATTATTTAACGGTCTTTGAAAAGGTCAACTCACATGTATAGAAACTTTAGCTACTTTGTAAAATACAATTACTTTCCTTATTTTTATTTCTTTTTGAAATATTTATTATTAAGCTTAGGGCAGTTTTATGAATATTATTATACTATAGGTTATGACAATGATTTTGGAAATATGACAACATAATATTCTCCTTGTGTTGATAGAATGACCACATTGTGATGCTGCAATTGCTTTACATAGACACTATAAAAGAAGGCCAAACACATGTTAAAGTGTATTCTCATTTATATGGTCATTATCAATGAACAATGGTGCACCCCAGAGGAGTGAACATGGGAACACAGGTGCATTTGGGTATTTTTGTTTTGGCTAAAATCTAAATGCACTTGTGTTCTCAGGTCACCCCTTTGGGGTCACCTTGCTATTTTTTTTTTTTTTTTTTACCTTATACTATTTTTTTTCTCTTCTTAAGTGGAGGATATCGAAAACAGTCACACTATTCTCCCCAGACCCTACTTGTGAGATTATATTGAGTTTGTTGTTCTTGTAGCATTTTTCTTTTTAAATTTGTTTCTCAATCATCATTCACTATTTATATATTTGTGAGATTTTTACTCTTTTTACACCATCTCGTCTTTTAGTGCACCTCGATTAAGGTATTGTCATCTCACTACTAAAATTTTCTAAGGTTTACTAACTTATCCTATTTTTCTTTCTTCATTCAGCTACATTGGAGCCCCAACTAATTTGAATTCGCACCACACAAGTTCCATTAAAGGAGAAAATCTTCTATTCGTAAGAATTGAATTCAAGACCACTGATTAAAAATAAAGAGATTTTATCTATCCCACCATAATTCTTGATTTAAATATCATTGGATCGGAATCTTTTTTCATCAGACGTTCATCCAAAGAGCTGGATTCCAACTGCAGCTAAAGCTTGTTTTATTTCCGATGGCCTTTCGGCCGATTTTTTGGCTGAAATTTCCAGAAATTCCAGCAGTGTCTTGCACTAAATACATTTAGCTGTGTTCAATTTTATTTATTTATTTGAGAATGATGTATCATAGCAAAATATCTTTTTATTCTTAATTCTGTGACCAATGTTCGTTCTGATTTATCCTATAAATCCTTATTTATAATATATTTCGAATTTCAAAGGTGCAATTAGAGTTTAGAGAGACTTCAACAGGAGCATCTCCTTCTTTAGAGGATTTTATGCCGTAAATTTAATCAAAACTTCAATGTAAATATCGAACGAAAACCAATAAAAAAAATAAAGGCGTGATCTTTTGGGTTCACTTTTTTAATGATTGAAGGCGAAAAAAAAAGGGAAATTTTCATAACTACAACTTCTATAAGAGTATATTACATTTATTTTATTTACGTTTTATACAACTTTATTTATGTTTTAAAAAATAATGAGTATCCAGCTTTGTTAAGCCACCCTACAAATATGGTAGTATCCCTAAACAAAAAATTTCTCTCTTCTCTCTCTGTACAAAAATTAGTGAATGAGGATCCCAAATTTTGACACATTTAATGAAATCCTTATCATTTCCTAAATTTAAGCCTAATTGAGTTGACTACAACTAAAATACAAAATATTCCTTAAAAAATCTCTAAATCCCTAAAACTTAGTTTAACCAAATGGACTACAACTCAAATACAATGAATCATATCTTAAAAGATGTCCTTTGGGTGTTATTTAAAAGGAATTTTTATATTCCTATGCCACATAGGAAACCTTTATTACCCTCAATGTTTAAGGTTTGACTTAATTACACTTAGTATATCAAATTACCAATTATATACCATTGAGTATTTTAAGGGTACAATTAATGCAGCGTATATCCCTCCTTAATTCAAGGTACCGTATATCCCACCCCACCCACGTTTCTCTCTCCCAAACCCTCACCCTCACCCAGCAATGAATCGTTATTTTAATAGAAGTGGCAGACGAGGGACAAAAGGTGGTGCATCTGCTTCTCAAAAACAAATTGATGAAAGAGAGTGCTTTCTACTAGTCAAGCAAAAGATAATAAGTTTCTTCTACCATCCAGTAACATTTCTATTCACCAACCAGTAAAAGAAACAGATTGCACCACCCATCAACACTACAATACTCATCATCGCTTTCAGAGAGATGGCCCAACCATCAACTCCAGGACCCAAAGAGCTTCTGAGGCTAGAGAAGTACTTCACTGTGCGACCTGAGAAAATCAGAGCAACATTTGCACCAAGTCCAAACAAATGATAGAATCTCTTAGCCTCGTCAACAGTCGTAATCTGCAAAAGAAATCACCCAAAATACTTAAATAACAGTGATTTCCCCCAAAACACGTTTATATAGCTTAATTGGTATTTTCGACATAATTGCGTATTTTGCAGAAGATTTTGTAAAAGTTTTAGTCGTTTTGGATTTGTGAAAACAGAAAACAACACATCTACAATCAGAATACAAATAATCTACAATTCATCTACAAAATATCTACAAACTGGGTATATTGAATTTTAATATCCCAATTCCCATTCGATTGTAGTTTAATTGGGATTTTCGGCATAATTGCGTTTTTTGCAGAAGATTTGAAGAAGTTTTAGTCGTTTTTGATTTGTGAAAACAGAAAATAAAACATCTACAATTAGAATACAAATAATCTACAATTTATCTACAAAATATCTACAAACTGGGTACAGTGAATTTTTATATCCCAATTCCCATTCAATTGTAGCATAATTGGGATTTTTGACATAATTGCATTTTTTTCAGAAGATTTGTAGAAGTTTTAGCCGTTTTTTATTTGTGAAAACAGAAAAAAAAGCATCTACAATCAGAATACAATTTATCTACAATTTATCTATAATTTTTGCAATATGTCTTCTTCTTCGTCTTCTTCTTCGAGTTTCAATCTGAAATTCAGTCAAAACCAAGTCTAATCTTCACCAAAAACCCTCAAAATTGAGATATAAACTCCAAACCATATTCCCGATTATTTTCAACAACACCAATCCAAACAAATAATAATTTTTGAAAACCCAAATTTGAATTCAAAGCTTTCAAGCTTTTTAATGGCTGTCAATGGTGGAAAATATCTAGAAGAATATTTACTTCCATAATTGTAGCGCGCCTAAATAGGAATATCTGAAAGAATATTTAGTTCCAGATTTGTAGCGCGCCTAATTAGGAAGGAATCAGCTCCTAATCATTGGTATTTAATGAATGGTATATATTTTGTAGAATAATTATGAACATGGCGGGTAAATATGAAACTATACACATTTTTGGTAATAAGGTTTCATATATGGTATAGGAAGGAAAAAGTCTCTATTTAAAAATATGTAAGATTACACTATATATAATATATGTTCATCGTGTTATAATACCTTTTTTACAGTAGTATATACCCCTTATACAGTGGAATAGATATATAATATATATATTTAATCATTAATGAACAATAAATATATTATATATTTTACATATGAATAATGGTTGAACTTATATAAATTAGATAATATACTTTCTACCTAAGTAAATATACAATATACTTAAAGAAATTGTATGTTGTACATAGTATAAATATATTATATACTACATATTATATACCATATGCTATAAATATACTATATACAATCCTCTTATTCCAATGTTCTTTATTTATATATAGATAATAGAGCATCTAAATATATTTTGCAAATACGTATATTAATGTATTCATATATACTATATGAAAAGTATCTACATAATTAATAAATAAATATTTTGGTATTTTTCCTCAATCCATGATACTACGTGATTAAACATTGTTGCTTTCAAATGAAAATATCGATTTACGGTAATGTCTCAGAAAATAAATTTAAGAATACCAATTTCTATTGATTGAATTTAATACCGAACAAAAGAAAGAAAAAAGAGGAAGAAAAAAACACCATTGGTATGAATAACAAATATCAAAATAAGTTTGAAGATCCGAAATACAAATTCATTAGCGATATTGTTGTTCTTGGTGGATTTGTAACTCATTTCTACTTCCATGAATAACACGCCAAATATTTCCAAAAATAAGTGGTTTGGGTGACTCCTCTGAGTGCTCAAACGAGCAGTTGAAATTGAAGTGCAAGGAGAAAATAATATTATTTCCATGGAATTGTGGAAGAGAATATCTGTTCATTCTCAATATGGTATAGTGAGATAACTGGATATTATAGAGAACAAGTTTGTTATAATTTCCCAATACCATCTAGTTAATGAATGAGAAAATTAAGGAGTCAATACTATTAACTCAATTAAGAGAGAGATATTAGAGATATGGAATATTGTAGATTTTAAAAAAGTTGCATTATATGTAATAATCTAAAAGTAGTTGTAACTCATTTAAATAAGTATTAAATAAGTTGTATTCTATGTAAATTATATACAGTCGTCAGACCTTTCTATAACAGCATCCCCATGTAACAACACTTCACTATAAAAGCCAAGCTTTTCCGCAACTAATTTTTATGTTATGTTATAATATATGTTCTCTATAACAGCACTTCGCTATAACATCCAAAAATATTCGGAACAAACGAAGCTGTTATAGAAAATTTTGATTGTAGTATCCTCATTCGAACACGTCAAGGGAGGTCCAATTCTGGATTCTTCGATTGCTTAGAAAAATCGGAAACTTAGAGGGTGTTTGGCTATGCTTATAAGCTGGTCAAACTAGCTTATAACTACTTTTCGGCTTATCTACACGTTTGGTAAAGTTAAAAGTGCTTATAAACCAAAAATAAGCCAAAAGTCATAAGCTGGTCACCCCCAGCTTATGAATTTTTAGCTTATAAGCACTTTAAGTTTGACTAAGATTTTTACTATTTTATCCTTAAAATATTCCTTTTTAGAACAGAACTCCTACATCGATACTCACTGCCTCAAGTATTCAACCTAACACTCCCCCCCCCCCCCCTCTTCAAGTCTGCAATTCTAATTTATTTAAGTTAAGCAAATTCGCTATTCCTTTGCATACTTATATCTATGTGATTGTGTATTAATCTTTGAACTGTATGTAACAAATGAGGACATATCAAATTTTTGTGTATTGCTTTCTAAGTGTTGTGGTGATGAAAGCAATGTTTGTTTCTCTTCAAATAATTTGTCCTATTTAGGTTTATTTTTTACTGAGAAACTTTGTCAACTTATTAATTTTTATAACTTATGATTATATGCTTATCATAAAATAAATTATATTTATCATAAAAATTATCTTATCTAAACACAATTGTATTTAAAATAAAATGACAAATAGAATATTTTGTATTTGAATCGATCTGGAATCTAAAATTTTGAAGAAATTACGCCCTTATAAGTGTAAATAGTTCTAAGGTTATTTAAGTCATTTTAACAGAAAAAGAGCTTATCAGCACTTTTTTATCAAATAGTGCAGCAACTTATTATCAATTTCAGCACTTGTATCCAAACACGTAACTGCTTATTTATTAAATCGGTTTCAGCACTTAAAAATGCTTTTCAGCACCTAATGCTTATGAGCTATTTCAAATCAGCTAATCCAAGGAGGCTCTTATTCGTGAAAAAAGTAGTTTTGAAATTTAAATTGATACAAATATAAATTGAGTTATTTGCGTGAATATCAATTGTTATAACTCCATATAACAATTATCTAACAAAACATCATCTTACATTCAATGCAAACTAAACTTTCTCTCTCTACATGCTCTCGGCGTAGCTTAGTGTGATTGCTATCTTGCGCATTCAGCCATGGGAGGCAGAGGAAGACCTAAGAAAAACAGTACGAAGGTTCCATTAGCGGAATTCATCACATCGGCAAGTAGAAAGGGAGAGGCGGAGAAACAATCACCACCACAAGGAGCCCTAATTCGAGAAAAGGAATTGAACGCACTGATACCAAGCGGTGGACTGATAGTAAGTGCTACAAATGCAATTCGCTACTCAGAAAGTGGAAGTAAAAACAAGCAAGTAGACGGAAAACAGAATGAAGTTCATGGATCGAAAGGGAAAGGGAGCGAAATGGATGCAAGGGTAATTGCTAGCCCTAGCAATAACATGAATCAATTAATGGAAATTGGGGGAAATGCTGGCAACAAACCACAAAAGGAAGGATTAAGTGTTCCAGTACAAAAGAG